GAGCTGGGAGACTGGAATGGCATTAGGCCCTGTCGCTACCGCGTACATCATCCCTTTGCCATGGCTACGCGGCCTACAACGCTCGTCTCCACCCACGCCTAGGCCCGCACGTTTGATCGTTCCGTCTTCTCAGTGCTAGGACTGGTGGGCGCTCTACTGCTCTTGTCCAGCTGCTCGGGCCGGCCTCGTTCATACGTAGGGCAGTCCCGAGCATAGTGTCCGACACCGCCGCGCTTCTTGCAGATTTCTTGGGCTCATAGATCCGCGTTGCGGCGGTCGCTGCTTGTTCCCACGACTGATATTTCACTTGTCCGTTATTAGTTATTAGAAGATGGAGGTCTGTCGGTAGCCCGGCGCAGTAGTAGTCCGCGATTTCGTCTGGGGCTAGACCCAACCCACGCTCTGCCACCTCCGCAAACTGGTCGGTGAATTCCTTCAGGTTACCATTCCACCGTACCTTTGTCAACTCCGTTAATAATTGACTCTGCGACATTGTTTTGTCAAACCGCTCCAGAAGCCTGCGCTGTACTGTCGCCCAGTCGCTTAGGTCGATAGTTCTCCGTAGATACATCCAATACATTAGAGCCCGGCCCACAAGGTGGTCTATAAGTGCATTTCCCCACTCGCGCGATTCCAATCCCATTTGCGTGTACCGGCGCTCGATGCGCATCAGAAAGGCCTTCATAGTGCTGCCATCTTCTGGTAGTATAGGAGTCGTTGCGCCGGATGCTCCGGTTCCCCCTATTACAGTTCTAATCACACTCATAGCGGACTGGAATTGGTCCCAGGTGACCAAGGGACTGCCCCCTGGCATAACATTGGGCAAAGGTGTCTCCTGCGGGGGTGCCTCCTTATGCCCATGCGACCGCTCTGCCACGGTGGGTTTCGGAGTCGCGTGGCGATGATGGGCTGGTGTCTGTGTGACTGACATTGTAGGAGTCTCCTGTGGTGTGGGACCGATGACGAGTCCGTTGCGGAGGTGCATCCCTTACCGAGCAAAGATTTCTAGGTGCGAGGCATTAAAACAAAGTATTTATACTCCCAAATCCGGAAATAATAAAGATTTCGTTCCCGGAACAGCCCCCAAGTGTAGTGCGCGGCGCCTACTGCTGCGACTACGCTGTTTCCTGCCCCTCTAACAGGTCTACATACTACACCTAGTATAGCTCCATTTCTCAGTCTCTATAGCTTTATTCCGTCGAAAATTCTAGAAGTGTCTCAAATCTATCTCGTCGATTCGCTCCCTTCTCGGAGCTTACCTCTTAGACCCTAGGGGAGGAGGTCCACATTGGTGCCGGCGCTATCGCCAGCCCCAGTCTCCATACAATTTCCGCACATTCCACGTTTTCATTAGAACTGACTAATTGTTTTTCTTATTTTTTTTTTATTGGGAGGGTCCTGTCCCCCTCCAGTGTCGCGGCCCCTTGTAGGTCGCTAGCTCGCTATCATCTCTAGGACACTAGCCAGCCCCATTGTAATGCCTCAGCACTACAGCCGCCCTAATGGCTCGACTGGTCCTTTCTCGGAGTTCCAGCACACTCTGCTTGGGCTCGTAGAGCCGTGTTGCGGCGGTCGCCGCTTGTTCCCACGACTGATATTTCACTTGTCCGTTATTGGTTATTAGAAGATGGAGGTCTGTCGGTAGCCCGGTGCAGTAATAGTCCGCGAGTTCGTCGGGGGCAAACCCAACCCACGCTCCGCTACAGCCGCAAACCGGCCCGTGTATTCCTTCAGGTTACCATTGCACCGTACTTTAGCCAACTCCGTTAACAATTGACTCTGCGACATTGTTCTGTCAAACCGCTCCAGAAGCCTGCGCTGTACTGTCGCCCAGTCGCTTAGGTCGATAGTTCTCCGTAGATACATCCAATACATTAGAGCCCGGCCCACAAGGTGGTCTATAAGTGCATTTCCCCACTCGCGCGGTTCCAATCCCATCTGGGTGTACCGGCGCTCGATGCGCAGCAGAAAGGCCGGCATAG